AGCCGCGCCGCGGGCAGCTGTGCGCCCAGGTGCGCCCGGGTGTGTCCAGGTGTGCGCCAGGTGCGCCCGGGTGCGCCCAGGTGTGCCAGGTGTGTCCAGGTGTGCGCCAGGTGCGCCCGGGTGCGCCCAGGTGCGTCCAGGTGTGCGCCAGGTGCGCCCAGGTGTGCGCGTGGCCCCTGCCGCGGCGAGCTCTGATGCAGCCCCTCTGGACGCGGGTTTCCGTCTAGTCACGACCGCGGCTTCCAGTGACACGGTGGCCGAGAGCCGGCACGGTGACGCTGCAGACAGCCGGCAGCAGGGAAGCGTCACCCGCTTCTGCCTGTGCCCGGCCTGCCAGCCCCGAACACCGAGGAGGTCTCCAACGCCGAACGAACCGGTAGCTTCTGGCACTCAAAGCTCAGGGCTGTTGACGCTACAGGAGCTGCATTTTGCCGGTTCGCGACCTCTGTATGACTTGAGCAGAGACCCTTAGCTAACTGGTGCGGTCCTGGAAACGCGCACAGGGACCCTCCCCTTGGGGCAGTGGCGGTTGATAGCAGGCTCAACATTCCCTTGTCTGATTGCTGTCTTACACGTGGCTAAGAATCCACGTGGCTCGGGCCAGCTTCTGCGGCCTCCGTGTCTTCCTGCTGCAGAGAGCGCCGGTGTTGCGGCTGCGGCCCCGTGACCTGCGACCACCAGCTGCTGCCACCCACTACCACCCCTTTAGTGTGAAGCAGCCGCGAGGCCTCGCTCCCCTCCTTCCATCACCGGCCCGCACGTTCTTCCTGAATGACCAGGTTCGATGCCTGTATTCCCTACTTGGACAAATCTGATGTTGGGGCAAAACAAATGCTCAACTGAAAGTATATTCCCAGCTCCTCTTGCAGACAGATGACCACGCGCCACTGCTCTGGCTAATGAGAAACTGCGTGGGACTTCTGGGAAAGCTGCTTAATAAGGATGGAGATTCCACTGGCCCTTTCCCCATCCTCTACCTGCTCGGGATTTGGACTGGATGTTGGAGCAGAGCGGCCATCTTGTGGCCCAGCGGCAGGAAGTGCCTGTGAGGGACGGCTGGGTGGAGGAGTGAGAGGAGCCTCCTCCCCGAGCAGTTAGAGCCGACACCCCAAGAGTATAAGAACCTGTTCGGAGCCTGACAGAGGAGTACAATCCTATCAGATGCACAAAGCTACTAGAGAGCTAAGGCTGGATCTTAACACACGCTGACTGCTTTAACCACATACCGTGTGGACCAGACCACACTTAGGTTTTAGACCTTTCCAGCTCCTGCCTTTGGGGTGCTTCCCTTTCGGAAGAGGAGGACCCTGGCCTGCTGAGGGCCGGCTTCAAAGTTAGTCTTTCCTGCCTGGGAACGTGGCTCCAGCAGGCGATGCACCCGGAGAATGATGACTGCTGAGACCCGTCCTCTCACGCAGGTTGCACCTCCCTTTGTGGCCTCCGCCATGCGCCATCCCAGGAATAGGGTTCAGACGCCTGATGTCGCATTGCAGGTGGTTGTTACCGTGGGTTGTGCAGCTGCCCCAGAGGCAGGGACACAGGGAAGCAGCCTGGTCTACTGGCTGGGGAGGAGGAGGAGCCCAGCGAGGAGGAGGAGCCCAGGACAGGTCCCGGATGCTTTCAGAGGGGCATGGCGCCTGTGGTCGGGAAGAGGCAGGGCATGGGGTTGACGGGACGTGGAAAGGGCATCCCCAGGCGTCACCAGCAGAACCTCGAGGCTGTCTGACAGTCCGCTTCTGAACGTGTGTCTGGCACAGATAGGCTGCGCTCCGCAGTGTGGCTTTTAGTGCTGTCCGTCTTGCCGCACCCGTCTGGAGGCTGGCCAGCTCGGCCCAGGGCAGTGGTCCCAGGCCGCCGGAGCCGTCTGCGTGGCAGTTTTAATTGGGCGGCACATTCCTGAGGAGACAGCCCTCACTTCTCACCCGTACCCGGCTTCCAGGCTTGTCTCACCGTCCCGGTTATGAGCAGTGAGGTCACTGCAGACATGAGCTCACTGGGGCTCCCCAGGTGGGCCAGGGCAGAGTGGGGCCAGGCGGGCACCCCAGCTCCCCTGGCCGCCTCAGTTCCTCCACGGGCATGCTGTGCCCCGGCCGCGGGGGCTGAGTGTGGCGGTGGCCCTGAAGGGCTGCTGGTCCCCAAAGGCCCGAGGAGCCAGGGGAGGCTGGAGGGAGCTCTGTCAGCACCGCCCGCCCCCACCGGGGCGGCCCTGCAGGAGGGTAAGGAAGGCCTCAGCTCCCTCTGCACTGCTGGAGGCTGAGGATTTGCCCTGGGAAGTGCTCTTCCTGGTTTTCATTCTGCTCCCTCTATCTGTTCCAGGATGAGAACCTTACCTGAGGCACAATGACAGGCAGTGCGAGAAAACAGCAGGCCCAGAACCAAGCCTGCCGTCTGCTTCCTCGCTGTCCTGTGCGCGCAGATGGTCACCCTGCCAGCCGCTGGAGAGCCTGGGCTTGGCCTCTCTGCTGCAGCCTCTGTGGTGCACAGGGGGATCTAAGGGGCGCGTGAAGCTTTTTATCTAGCGGAGCCTGTGTATTCTCAAGTGCGTCGGGGACATCAGAGCAAAGCTCTGGCCCACGTGTTTCTAAACTGGGGCAAAACTCCCCTCCCTGAAGGTCCAAGTTTTTTTCTGGGGAAGGCAGGCCCAGAGGAAGAAGGGGAGAACGGAGTCCCTTGCCCTTGAGAGCACACAAGCACAGCACGTCCTGCCGCCTCCCTGGCGCTTCCTTTTGTGGGAAGAAGCCGCTGCACCCCTTTTGCTGTGGGGAAACACGCTGATTTCCCCAGCTGATGGTGGGGGCCAAACTGGATTCTGAGCTTTCTGCCCTCCAGTTCTGGTTCTGTTTGCCTCATTGCAGCGGCCTCTGTGGAGAATGGCCATGGGCTGGGAGTGCACAGGCCTTTCCCAGGAAAGGGGTACAGATGGTGCCTATAGGTGGGGCACCCCTGGACGGGGAGGGCACTGCGTAGAGCGGTTAAACAGTGGGGGCGGGGGGCTTGTGCTTCAGGACAGTGACAGTCACACAGCTCATGAGCAGGGTAGCTGTGGTTGTGAACATGGCCTAAGTGCCAGAGTCAGCCTAGGGAGTCTGCAGAGCCAGGTTCTGCTCAGCCCCTTCCAGATAAACTGCGTGGGGCGCTGCGCTCGCAGGGACCCTCGGAGCGTGCAGTCAGCCCTGGGAGGTGGGTCGTCCTCACAGCCCCACCTGCGCAAAGACGTCCTTTTTCTTTCTTTCTTTTTTTTTGAAAATTGTAAACCAGCCTACATGCAACTTGGAGCCCCTTCCTGATCGGCTGGCAGTGAATTCACCTCCTCATTCACTGAGGTGCCCCCCACTCAGGGTCACACAGGAGTCCCGGGGACTTGCTCCTGAGAGCCCAGGAGGCAGAGTAAGGAAGGGCCCCTTGTGCTAGCCCACGTCACGCCGAGCTCCTCCTCGTTCACTGCCCAAAGGCCTCTGCTTCTGGGGGGCCCAAGAATCTCCACCGAGATGGGCTGAGCTGGGGTCAGGGCCTGGCATGTCCAGGGCACTCCCCTGGGGTACCCAGTCCCTCCCCAACAGATGCCAAGGAAGGGTCTGCAGCCCTCACGGGCCCCACTAGCAGGCTCGCTGCTGGCCTGAGGCCCCTCTTTGGCTGGGTGTACCCCACTTCCCCCGCTCTCTCCCAGTGTTTCTTCCAGTCCTCAGCAGCATCTCAGGAAAATGTCACTTCAGTAAGCTGAGGAGTGCTCAGGAGACTTGGCAAGGCGCTGTCTTCAAGCAGTTAAAGTTTCTTCGATACCCTGCAGAAACCAAAGAAATGCAGAGTTAGCTCCTAGAAGAGGGACAGAAATGCAGGCAACCCCAGACACAAACGTGTGAACCAGACTTTCTTCTGCAGGCATCTGCAGACTCAGGAGATGAGTGGCTACACACACACACATGCATGCACACACACACCCACACACACGCACACACACAATACTACTGCTACTACTGCTGCTGCTACCACCAGCCTTCCCCTGGGTGGTGAGGGCACCAACAGGGCATCAACACCCTGTGGTGGCTTGGGAGGCTTAGCCCTTAGTAACTGTCGCCAGTCCCAGCCCTACTGGCGACCTGGGGAGCACGCTCTCAGGAGGACTGGCGAGCAAGCTGGATGTGTGTGTCTTAAGCTGCTGGCTCCTTGACCCCCTTTCGGGAGGGCCGGACACCCCTCAGTGGGGACTGCTCAGAGCTGGCGTCCTGGGGTAGGTGTGAGAGGAGGGCTGCCTGGGCTGGGGGACGGGTGGGGGTGGCCAAAGCTGAGTCCGCAGGATTTCGCCTTCTCCGGGAGCGAGTGATGAAATATGGGAGCCGGGCAGCCGGTCTGTAACCACCGCGTTGAAGCACTTCCTTGCTCCCCGCCTTCGACGGCCTCACAGATAACCCCGGTAGCCGAGCAGAGCCACACGCGAGTGTCGCCGAACCTCGTCAGCCCCGCCTGCATGGGCTGCTGCAGTGGACGTGGCCCCCGGAGGCTCAGCCGGCACAGCCTTTCCCGTGGCCCCGGCAGCCTCTGCTTGAGATGTGCCGGTCGGACTGCAGGCCGACGAGGCCAGAGCAAGCAGCGGTCCTGCACAGCGGGCGCGAAATGCCCAGGAGGCCGGCGAGGAAGGAGGAGTCGGGGCCCTGCCGGAGGACAGGAGGCAGAGCTGAGCTCCGGGAGGTTTGTGGAAAGGCGAAGCCCTGCCGAGGCCCTCCCCAGGTCGGCGTGGAAGGCTCACGGCCTCTTCCTCCCGTCTCCTGCACTCAGCGGCTGCCCTTGGTCCCGGCGTCTTCTGCTGAGGCGACGGCAGAAGCCTTGTTGCTCAGCTCTCTGAGTAACATCGCAGTTTATTGAGCGTTGTGCGCCATGTGCCCTGGAAGGTGCTTCCTACTCACGACCTCGGTCTTCCCAGCACTCGGCTCTGTGTCTCCACCCGCTTCTGACAGGGGAGGCATCCGCGGCTCCGGGAAGCGACGTGGCTGGCCCAGGGCTGCAGAACCAGATCTCAAGGCAGACGGCATCCCTGGCCGCTCGCCCTCCGGTGCGTCCTCCACACCCCGCGGGCCTAGCCGTTGCTTCTCGTGCTCCTCTCCAGAATGCAGGTGCGCTCTTCTCTATTTGTTACAGCCGCGGGGCTCCTCAGAGCTCGGGGTGGGCCCTAGCCCATCACACAGCTGCACGGCCCTTTCCTCCTTCCAGCTGCCCGCTTCCTGTGAGCCGCACACCCTGGCCGCAGAGGGCTGTTTGTAGCTTCCTAAACCGGCCCTGCTGCCTGTGCCTGCCCCTCCCGTCCTCCATGGCTACGGCGTCTATTCCTACCCACTGCATCCACAGCCCATTTCCTACACCCGGACTGACCTTACGCAGCTGTCCAAGCTCCGTCCAGCCCAGTGTTGCCCTGACATCACAGCAACCCATCTCCTGACGCCCCACGTATGCACAGGCGCTGTGTACCCAGACGCACATGCAGAGACAGTGTTCACACGCCCCAGTGCATGTGCACACACACACACACACACACACACAGACCCACAGATTCATACGTAGCGACACACACGCAGACGCGCGGGACTGCCCCCTTCCTGGGCTCCCGCCGTGCCCTGTCAGTTCCGGCACCGGGCCAGTCTCCTCGGTGGACCCTGCCGCCTTCGCACGTGTGTCTACCCGTGGAATCGAGGCTGCTTGTCCGCAGGCTGTGTGTCCGTCGGCGTGGTGCTCCAGACACGTGAGCTGCGTGTACGAGCAAGGGCGCTGCGTGAACGAGTGACTGAGGAGAGCTTTGGAGTAGGGAACGTGTCACGGTCACTGTGTCCCCTTCTCAGGGCAGTCGTCCAAGCGGGGTGAGCGCAGAGAAATGAAAGGAGGATGAGCAGGGAGCGGAGGGAGAGGGCGCGCGGCAGGGTGAGACTCCGGACTGCGGTGCCGGCGAGGACGCCGGCTGTTCCCGCCACCAGGGGGCGCAGCAGGACGGCAGCCGGGGGTTCAGGCCCAGGTAGCCCTGTCTTGCTTGGAACTCTCCAGAAGTTCGGGGGGCTTCCTCTCCCCGCAGGGTTGGAGAGGCAGCTGGGGTCCGGGGAAGGAGCCCCATCAGGCTGGCCACTTGCAGCAGCAGGCCCAGGGCTGGCCTGGCCTGCTCTTGCCCTGTGGCCCAGGACAGGATCGGGATGCCCCAGGTAAGGCCCACCTGGAGCAGGTAGATGCTGGCAGCTGGGGGCTGTGGCGGGAGCACAGCTGCAGATCTGAGAGGGGGCTGGGATTCCTGCACCCACTGCATCACGAGCCCGGGGTGGTGGGGGGCTCACAGCTCCGGCTCTGTGCTTCTCCTCCTCACCCCTTGCCAGTCAAGGCCAGCCCCATCCCCAAGGAGCCAGGAGCCTTGCGCTCGCTGCCAGTACCCATGCCAGGCCTGGGACACCGATGGGCAAGACGTGGCCCCACCCCCCGCAGTTCCCCTTTGGTGGAAAAAGTGGGGACCCTGTCAGCGCTTACAGCCGCCGGCTCTGGGGCCCAGAGGCGTGGACGTGGTCCTCCTCAGCCCCTCACTAGCTGTGTGACCTCGTGCGGTCCTTGCCCCCGTCTCTGCCTCGGAGTCCCCGCTGGGAGGGTTGTTAAACCGTCAGATAAGTTCACCCACAAAGGCCCCTTACAGCAGTGCCTGTCGGCGAGCGGACATTCGCTACTGTGACATTCCTCGCTGTGATCACCACAGATTCTGCCCCGCAGCCCTTCCCGGCTCGCGTCGGGGGTGGACATGAGACCGGCCACACTAGTGCCCTAGCCCTCCTGCAGCCACTCCCGCGTTAGTCTCCGGCACTCTCTGGCAGGTGACGTGGGGCCTGGGGAAGCATGGTGAGCGCCCTGGTCTCAGGAGGCTGTCAGGAGAGGAAGGAAGCAAAGCCAGCAGGTCCAGAGGGAGCAAGGCCCGGGGGTGCACATGCCCAGGAAAGGCTGTAGAGACCAGGGGGTGCACACAAGGAGGGCAGGGGTGCGGTTCTCCATGCCCCACCCCACCTCCCAGGGGACCCAGGGCTGTGCGGCCACCCTGCCGAACAGGGTCACCCGGGACTTCCGTCTACACTAGATGCCTCCTGGGACTTGTGTTCTGAAGAGTTCGGAGCGTGTGGCTTTTGCCTGCATTCTCCCCTGTGAACAGGTTCGCGAGGGGCCGGGATGAACAGTGAGTGAGAGAACTGTGGGTGGCCGGCAGCAGGGAGAGGAGAAGCAGGCCCGGCGCCCCAGGGGGAGCCAGAGCCTGAGGTACTGTTCCACCGAGGCTGGGCCTCCTTGGGCCGCTGCCCCCGGTGGGCGCTGGGCTGCTGTGAGGACAGCCTGCTGAGTGCTGGGTGCTGTCTCTGGGAGCGGCCTGTTGGCTCCCAAATCTGCCCCTCTTCGTCTTTCTTCCCATCTAAGGCTTGGGCTCTGCCCCCAAGTCAGGGCTGCAGAGCCCCGCAGACGTGGCTGCACATCATCTTCTCTGTGGAGATGCTGGAGGTGGAGGCTGACCTCTGCCAGGGGCCATCTCTCTGGATCCTCGTGTCGGCCCCTGGTGACCACAGGGCCTTGGTTCCAGCACCTCCACAGTACCAACACCTGAGGATGCCCAGGTCCCTTAAGCACAATGGCACAGGAATTATATTAACTGCGTAGAACCTACGCACATCCTTGTGTACACATTCAAACCATCTCTAGATTACACACAATGCTTAATGTAAACACCACATAAGCAGTTGTTATCCTGTATTGTTTAGGAAATAATAACAAGAAAAAGAGGCTGCTCACATTCAGTACAGATGCATCTTTTTCAAATTAGGTATTTTTAAAAAAAATATGGTAGGCCCTCTGTACCCATGGCCGCTGGGTTCATGGATTCAATCAACCACTGAGCAAAAACTTTTTAAAAAATTTCACCTGAACATGGGCAGACTTTTTCCTTGTCATTATCCCCTAAAAAACACAGGGCACCAACTCTTTCTGTCACATTTAGCCTGTATTCGGTGTCCTACGTACCACAGAGAGGACTGGGAAGATATAGGCAGGTTGTATGCAGGAGTTACGGAGGCCGCTGTGAATAAAGGTTTGGGCATCCGCTCAGTGGGACTCCTGAGACATGACTGGGCCCTGGCCGGGGCAGATAAAGGGCCCAGGCCAAGGCCTTGCTGGCAGTAACTCTCGGCAGTGTGTGCAATGCCGTGGGAGTGTCTCTGCCCGCGCCTCACCTCTTTAAGCCCGTCACGCTTTTATTCAGCCAGTTCATGTCCCGGGCAGGGCCCGGTCCCCGGTGTCTCCACTGACCGAGCGCTCGTGGAAGGAGGAGGATCGCGTCCCCGTCCCTGGTCTGTGTGTCCCCTGCAGGCCCCAGCAGAGTGACCTGTGTCTCTGTGGCCGAGAATCTTCCACCCACAGTCCTGCCTGAGCCCCGGCAATTTTCTCTGGCAGCTCCCACGTTCCGGACTAACTTTAGGGTTGGTTTCCAGCTGTGGTTGGATTTTTCTGTTTGAAAATATTTTAAGCAGCTGGTGGGGAAGGGGTGGAGAGGTGGGGGAGAATAACAAATACGCTTGTGAAAGGAAGCCTGTCCCCACGGCTTGGAGCACTGCTGCCCACAGCTTGGTCTGCGGGCCGTGCCAGGGGAGCTACCGGGTGGCTGGGGCAGGGAAGGGGCACTCCGGGGCCTCACAGGCCGAGGGGGGCTCTGTGCCCCTCACAGTCACCTCTTGGGCTGCTTCGCACTCTGTGCTCTGCTCAGATTCTGAGGGTGCCCGAGTAAACATACAGGACGGAGCTAGGTTTGCAGCAGGCAGGACTGAGCTCAGACGCAGGCAGGAGCTTCCTAACGTCGGTACCGCTCCCTGCAGTCCACCTCGGTTTCACCCAAGACCCTGTCTTCTCTAGAACTCAGCTTCCTCCTCCGCTCTGACCGCGGAAGGCCGCAGGCAGCCCTGCCCGCCCAGGGACTCCTCATTCACCCAGCAGCTCTCACTTCCCTCAGCCTCTTCCACTACCCCTGCCCCCGCTCCCCAGCTCTCCTCCGTTTCCTCTTTCCCCTCAGCCCGGCTCTGCCTCCGGGCCCTCGGGCTGCAGGGCTCCGGGGAAGTCTTCTCTTCAGCCGCCTTCCCGGGACAGGCCTCCCGAGCAGGCCCCACCAGCCGCCCACGCGTGGAAGGCAGGCTCCTGCTGCCCCCGGCTGCCCGGGAGGGTTGTGGACACGGACTCGGAGCACCCTGGACAGCGGGGAAGCTAAATCCCAGAGTCAAGACAGAAGCGGAGTCAGAGAGAGGCAGGGAGAAGCCCGGCGGGGGAGGGCGGAGTGCACGGTCACCAGGCACTGCCTGGGCTGGACGGACGGACGGACGGACATTCCTGTGGCCTCAGATGGCAGGGCTGCCTGGAGCCAGTGGGGGGCTCAGCATGGGGTCGCAGGCCTGGGTGGCAGAGAGCCCGCCCTCCTTGTCCTGCCTCCTCCTGGGGGCTCCCTCCACCTTGCTGTGGGGAGGCTGAGCAGCCAGAGCAAGCATTTGGGGTGAGGCCACTGAGCAGACCTGGCTTTGGGGGTCTTGAAAGATGCAGGCAGCGGAGCGTTCCCTGGAGTCTGGGGGAGCCCGCAGCGGTGGGGTGAAAGGTGGAATATAGGAGCTGAGAACGCCTGGGTCCTTTTCCAGGGTTCCTGACAAGCAAAAGAAGGTGTGAGCCTGAGGACCAAGGCCACACAGTGGGAGAAAACGGGGTGGTGGTGGGTGTAGCAGAGGGGCTGCTTGGGGTGCAGGCAGCTTGGTGTGCATAAGGATGACTCCGACTCCAGCCAGGAAGTTGGGGCGGGAAGACGGGCCTGTCGTCCTCAGCAGTCTGCGGCACAAGGGCCTGGGAAGGCGAAGCTGTTCTGGGTGTACGGACGGCCTTCTTTAAGAATGTCCCCAGGTGATCCGCACCCCGCAGGCGCCTCTGCCCTGCGAGGCATCCCCGGCAAGGAAGCAGCACTGGCCTGCGTTATAACTGAGTCTGTACGCAGTGGGTCCTGGCCACGCAGCTAACGCAGGCCGCAGTGCTACTGCTGTCCACCCGCTTCCGTCTCCTGAGAAACCGGGCAAGAGTGAGAGTCCCAGAGGCTACAGAGACTGGATTCCGTGCTTCCCGACGCTACCTCATATCTAAACCGAGCATGACGTTTTCCAAGGTGTGTGCCTTCTCTGCTCTCATTGTGAAATAGAACACACATGCGTTAAATATGTATACATATAGTTTAATAAATAGTTACAAATCAAACGCCCGTGTTTCCACTGCCCAGGGCAAGGTAGGTATTACCAGCATCCCAGAAACCCTTGGGTGTTCTCCTGGTCCCAACCCCACTGTCCCCACCTGGAGGAAGCAGGGATCCTGACTTTCGTGATCTCACTTCCTTGTTTACCTTCCAAAGCTTTTAGAGTTCCTTAGATATGATCACCTTTGAGTTTCACAATAGTCTTATTATTCCCATCTCACAGATGAGGAGACTGAGGCTTGGAAAGGTTAAAATAACTCGTCCAAGCCCAGCCAATGACCAAATGCCAGAACAGGATCATAGTTTGGCTTGGCTGATGTCCTAGGGTGGTTCCTCGGTCAAACCAGAGTTCACAGGAAATCCGAGGATAACCTCAGCCCTGGAGACAGACACTCCAGTGCCCCAAAAAGGGAAAAACCATCTTCATGGTTAGGCCAGTGCCTCCCACCAGGAACTGCCCGCTCTCCTAGCGCCCACGGGCCTGCTTTGTGAGTACCTGGCGGAGGTACTGGAGGTCCAGGGAGGAGACACTGGGCTCGTCCACATGGGACAAGTGCCCGAGAGAGCTGAGAGCCTGAGGGCACACAAGCCAAGGGAGCGGGCCTGAGCTAGGGTCGCCCGCGTTTTGCCTCTTTAGCCGGTGTGCCCCCTGGGGGCCGGGTGCGCTTGGTGCGCTTGGTGTGCGTGTGTGCGTGCATGTGTGTGTGTGTGTGCGCGCGCGCACGTGCGCACATGCACACGGCACTGTCCATAGGCTTGTTCTGAGCCCTCCCCCACCCTCGCCTCTTGCTCTCGTTAGCTATAAAACTATATAGGCTTGTTATGAAAGGTCATAGGATAAAAGGTCAAGCTGAGGCCCGGCCTGGGCAACTCAGTGACTTAGGGAGACCCCGTCTCAGAATAAAGAAGGAGATGGGCTGGGAAGGTAGCTCACTGCGAGGCCCCGCGTCCAGTCCCCAGGTCAAAGCAGGCCTCTGTTCTCCGACTCTGACCAACAGTTCAGCATCTGTCCTCCTATACTTCTTCCTAAGCACGTTCGGATATGCAGCTGCTTACATTCTCTAGGTACACAAATGCAAACGCAGTCCTGTGAAGTTTACTTCTGACAAAACGGTATCAGAACCCACATGTTACTTTCCAACTTGCTTTTTCACTTCGCGACCCGGTCTTCCTCCCCATCAGCAGGGGCAGCTTTCTGGCACTCTGTGTGTGTGGATAGATGTGCGTGTGTGTGTTGCTCTGCAGAAACCGGGGCATCGCGCGTGCTAGGCCGGTGCTCTGCTAACCGGGCAGCGTGCCCAGCCGCTTCATTCCCTTCGAACAGCTGCGGAGCGCTCCGTGCAGCGGCACATCGCGTGTCTGACGGGTGGCCTCACCCGCTCGGCCTCCCCGAAGCGAGGGCAGGGGACAGGGCCGGGAGGAGGGCGAGGAGCCTGGCTCCAGTGTCAGCCCCACCCCCGCGGCAGCCTAGTCCAGCTGCCCTTTGACCTCCTGCGAAAGAATTTCAGCCCTCTGCCCCTCACTGCCCGAAACACCTCCACCCACGCAAAGTCCACCCGCATTCACCTGTCCTCCGTCTTCCGTCCCCCTTGTCCCTCCTGGTCCCGGGACGCACAGCGCTGCGGACTTCCTTCCAGCGCCCCCTGCCGCCCAGCTCCAGACCTCTCGGCGGTCTGAGGTCGGAACCGGGAGGAATCGGAGGGGCTGTGCCCGCGCCTCCAGCAGGGCCCGCGGCAGGCGCCCTGCGGATGGTGAGCTGGCACTGCCCAGGCCCGGCGGCAGTTTCCTGCTTCCCAGAGGGCACCGGCGATGGGACCGTGCCAGCCAGGCACGGCGCCCCCCCCTGCACCAGTGTCATGGAAAATCTGAAGCCTTGATCTTTGTCCTTGGTTGTCCCTCCCCGATTTTTATAACTGGAAACTTTCGGCGTCTTTGTTCCGATCAGCTCGAGGGGGAGGCCTTGCGGTGGTGGAGGGGCGGTGGCCGAGTCAGCCGCTGGGGTGGGAGCTCGCACTTCCTCAGGTGAGCTGACCCCTCCGCACGTGGGGCTGGGGAGGGGTGGGCGACCCTGGCTGTCCTTCCCCGCTGGCCCCGGCTGACCCCCACTTGTCTGGGCGCAGATCCTCTCCTTGCAGACACATCCAGGTCCTCGAGCACTTCCCAGCCCCTCTCCCTCCTCAGGGTAGCCCCCGCCCACCTCTGAAGGACTAGAAGTTCGGCTGAGAAGCCACTCGGTGTGGCTGCCCCTCTCCTGCACGGCCGCCTGGGCACCCCCTCCCCGGCTTCCTCCCTCAGGCCAGAGTTCACGGAAACTTCTCAGGTCAGTGACTCTCACCTTCCTTTCCCGCTTGGGAGAGGCGACCAGGGCCCCCTTCCCTGGCGCGGCACTGCATAGCCCTGCTGTTCTTGGGCAGGGGAGAGGACGGGCCTGGGGCTGAGCCCACAGCAGGTCTGGTTGCCCTGGCACCAAGCGTTGGAGAGAGATTTGTGCCTCATCCGCACGACCTTACAGACCCGAGAGCTGGAGGGAAGCCGGAGAGGGTCGCAGAGCCCAGCTCAGGCGCGGAAGGCTGTGGTGCTGAGGCAGACAGGAAAAGGCCTGATCTTCATCCCGCAGCTTTTGCATCGAAGACCAGCCACTCACTCCCCTGACTCACAGCTACACTTAATGTTTGATTGACTGCAGGAGCAGAGATTGAGCCCAGGGACTTCACACTGAGGTACACCCCCAGTTTTTTTTTCCTATAATTTTGATTTTGATACAGGCTCTTGCTAAGTTGCTGAGTTTTTCCAGGTTTGGTTCAAACTTGAGATCCTCCTGCCTCAGCCTCCCAGAGTACTTGGATTACAAGCTTGTGCTACCATGCCTGGGTCTCAGACTAGCATTTCCAGCACAGAACTTGTGATCTGAGGGGTGTGTGTGTGTGTGATTATGATGAGGTGTGGCTTCTAGCCTTCAGAACTCATGAGAGAGAGGCCTGAGAGGCTGGCATGGCAGAGGCCTGCTTCCTGGGTTGGAGGTAAGCTGACGCTGGCACAGGCAGGTGGGGTGGGGGTGGGGCTGAGGAATAGGGACACTGTCCCTGGATTCCCCCGTGCAGGCCTTCTCTGCATGGCTGGTGCCCAGAGGAACCCTGCTCTGTCCATCTGTCCATCTGTCCATCTGTCCATCTGTCCATCCAAGTGGTGGTTCCCGCTGCAGTCAAGCAGACAGTGGCTGGCGCAGAGGCTGAGGAACTTGCCACGCTGGTGACTTTCCTTGGCCATGATCTGCCCAGAGAAACCACGGCCCCCGTCCGTGGAAGCTGGGGCGGGAAGAGCCGGGCCGGGCCCTGCAGGCCAGGCTCCCGCACCCCACATCCGATCCACCCCGCTGCCCAAGCGGCACGGGTTATTTTTGTCCCCCCATGCTGCCGACGCCTTTGCCCCACTCTCCAGAGTTACTCAGTGACCAGTGTTGGTTTTCTATTTCCAGAGCAAAGCAGCTGTTCCCTCCCTCCCTGCGTGGCTTCCCTGCTGCTTCTGTCGGTCAGGTGGTGCAGGGTCGGTCCAAGGCAGGGGAGAAGGAGCACCTAGGGGGGAGGGCAGCACGCGCTCTGCTCTGCACCTCCGCCTTCCGGTGACCTCCCAGCCCATCCCCGTGGCCGGCACGCGCTCCCTCTTGGCTTCCGAGCGTCTCACCCCAGGGCCTCGCCTTCCGCCACCGCTGCTCCCTGCGCCCCTTCTTTCCTCTGCCCGCCCCTCTGAATCCGCCCCCCCACCGGCACTGATGCTTTTAAACGTCAGCGAAGCTGTGACACTCTTTCTGCTGAGGCCTTTCAATGGGCCTGTGTCGCTGGTTCAGAACACCGGCATGGGCTGTGGGGCCCTAGCTTTGTCTGCGCTTTCCGTATTTCCCAGCCTCACCGGTGCCCCTTCCCACGGCCGGGTGCGTGGGTCTCTCACTTCCTGATAGTTCCAGCTCTTCCCCTCGAGCTACGCTCCAAGCTCCCCTCCCACGCCAGCCCCATTCCCGCCGTCGTGCTCATGGGGCTGAATTTCCCTCACTCCCCTCCCAGCCAGCCGCCCCTATTTCCACTTCAGCCCTCCGTCTGTTTCCCTAATGCCCTGGTGACAGTCATCATACCTTTACCCGTTTGTTTACTTCTCCTTCGCCATTCACCCCGGAACGTGAGCTCCATGCGGCAGGGACAACGTGTGACCTCTGCACTGTTACGGAAGCGCAGATGCTGCCGGAGGGCTGAGCACTTGGCTGACGGGGAGGGAAAATCGTGCAGAGCCTCCGGAGACACGGGGAGCAGAGCAGCCCAAGCCTCGCTCCGCCCGGGCACCTCCGGGATGAGCCTGGCCCGAGAGGTGAGGCCAAGAGCGAGCTCTGAGAGACGCAGGTGGGGCGGGGATGGGGACTGGGTCCCCGCCCGGCGGCTGGTTGCTCCTCCGGGAGCTTCGACTCGCGCAACGCAGAGCGAGGCTTGGCCCTGTCCCCCAGCGCTCAGGACCCGAGCATGCGACACGATTCCATCCCAGAAGCAAACCCTCCCCAGCACCCACTGGCCCCGGACACGAAGCTGGGTGCATTCTGGGGTTTATCTCATCTAACTCCCACCAACAAGCCCACAAGGAAGGAATTACCACTACCACTCCTCAGCGAGGAAGCAGATGCCCTGATGGTCCTGCAACGTAAGAAAGGTCAGGCCTGAGGTGAGCGGAGGAGCGGGCTGGAAGGCCCTCGCGGAGGACTGCAACTGTCCCAGCCAGGCGAGAGTCTGGCGGGGCCGGAGCAGGCGCGTGTGGGGAGGAGGCTCCAGACACCCCAGTGCCACCCCGCGACAAACTCCTTACCGCCTCTTCTCACCCGACCCGCTGCGCGGCCTGGACGCACGGCAGCACAAGCCATCAGCACGCACCCCGTCTGCGTCTCCTGGTGACAGCAAACGTGCTCCAGCGACCTTAGTGCTGCGGAGGCTCCTAAGCCCTGGGGATGGCGTGGGAAGGCGGGCTGGTGAAGTGGCAGCCCCACCTTGGCAGCCCTCCCACCCTAAGGCCCTGGCCCGTCTAACTCTGGCTGGGCCCACTCGCCACTGCTTGCAAATGCCGCAAATTAGGGTGAGCTTCCAGAGGTCACCCTCGCCCCCTCCTCCCTCCGGGAAGGCCCGGCCTTTCTCCCCTGTTGGCAGGTGGGCTGCCCTGGGCCTCGGCAGTCTCCGGGGAGGAAGGGCTGACGACCCCTCTCGTTCACTCTCCTCAGTGCTCCATTCCGAAGAAGAGAACTCCAGTCCAGCGCTGTCCCTCTAGCGGCACATGTGGCAAGTTGCTAAGAACCCAGGTGCCTTCGGAAGTCGCTGTTCAACTAATTCTTTTTCCGTCTCCCAATCCCCGTAGCTCCATCTCTGTGTTTTCCTTCCTGTGTCCACGCTGTTTCCCATCTGATTCACTTCCAAGCAGACGCAGTTTGGGGGTGGGGCCTCCCTTCCACGGGCCCCATGGGACTGACAAGGGAGAGGCCCCCCTTCGGCTCCAGCACTCAGTGAATCTGAGCATACATTTTAGACTCATTGATATGCTCTCCTAATCCCAAGGAGTCCAGTTCCCAGCTACGTGGACACCCACACACACAGTTACAGCACACTTACACACACACACACACTGTCTCCCAGACGGACACATCCTTCACACACGTACACCCGCACCAAGACCTGTCATCCACAGAAGCAGGGACTTGCATCCAGAGTGACAGGAAGAAACACAATCCCTTTCTCACCCCAACCATCACCAGAGATATCTGCGGGAATCTTGCGTTTTCTTCCATTTGTTAGATGATTGTGCATCCGTATTACCTCACCTCAGCACACCTGAATCACATGTCCGTGCAGATGTTGGGGGTGTGTTCACACTTACGTGAGCATTTTTCCCCTTCATAGAACATGAATGAAACAGTGATTCGGCAGGTATCTGGTTAATTTTATAAATACAGACAGCCAAACCAGAATATTTAGGTCCAAAAACCTACCACTGCTTTGAGTCATGGGGTTTGGCCATCTATACTTAACCAATTAACCAGCAAATTGCCAAGGTCATGCGTGTGTGCTGGGCAGGCACACTTTCAGGGTGGCCCGCACACTTGCGGATACGTAGGTATCTCCCACACCTCGTTATTAAGTGTATTTTCCTACGTATTATTATACCTAATATATATTTGTAGCCAACCAATTCGTACCTGGCCCAGCTTATCTGGGATTAATCTTCCATACCAGGCTGATTTTCTACAGCTATCTATCATGTGACTGAGCCTTGGGTGTAGCAGTCTGAACAAGCAAGCATGCTTTCACAGACATCCTGCCTCCGTTCTTGTTGTTTTCCATCTTGATAAATACGTCTTCAGATGATGAGGTTTGTTATTAGCTTACATTGCACAGAATTGGTGACGGAAACCAGCTTATAAGCAGGACCCCGAGTAGAAACCACCAAATGGATGCGAAAATATAGAGAGATAGCAAGAGAGCAGGTGTAATGGAAGATTTTTGATGGAATAAAAAAAGATCTGGGGTTTTTCCTCTCAGTTTTACTCGGGATTTGCTTTGAACATTTGTCCATATCAGCGTTTGTGCCGTGACAGAGTAGGCTCTGTGTTTTTGAGAAGTCTCCTCTAGCTCTGAAATACTGGGACGCCCCGCAAGCATCACTGAACTAGACCAACAGGTGCTGGTGAACAGTGATCTGACACGGTAGCAACAGCGCTTCTCAAACTTCAGTGTGCGTGCAAAGTGGGAGTTGCCTGGAATCTTGTTAAAGTGCAGATTCTGGTTCACTAGCTCTGTATTTGTAAGAAGGTCTCGGTGGACGCTGATATTGCTGGTCCGTGGACCACACATTGAGAAGCAAAAGGAGGCTGAGCAGGAGGATTACAAGTTCGAGCCCAGCCTGGTAACTCAGCAAGAACCTCTCTCAAACATAAAAAGAAAAAGGGCTAGAGATGGAGCTCAATGCAAAGGACCTAGGTTCAAACCTCAGTACTGCACACACACACACACACACACACACACACACACACACACACAAAGCCTACTGGACCTGGAGTTAAAAATCCCAGGTCTGTCCATAGTTTATCTTTGCTGAGCCTCAGTTTCCTCTTCTGCAAAATAAAAACAGTTTTAAATACTTATTCCCAGAGGCTGTTGTGAGGCTCCTAGGACATGACACACTTGAAAGCTCTCTCTATGCTGTATTATCGCCCTCAAACACGTTCGTTAGGTTGCCGGGTTTTGCCTTCAAAGCCTCCCAGGCGGGCCTGCTGACCTGGCAGGCGGGGCTGGTGCAGCGACAGCAGCTCGCATCCTTGCATTCTTCCTGCGGCTCACTCCCTGCAGCAGTTTCTCTGGAAGCTGCTATTGGCAGAGCCAGGAACACCGCGTCTCCCTCCCTCCCGCTGATTGCTAGTCTGTGTGTGTCCTGGCCCTGACCCCAGAGGACACAAGGCTCCCAGTTGTGCTGACATATCCAGGATGCATCCCTCCCTCTTCGCGCTTGTGTCCTCTGCCTTTAGCTCACCACACTCCAAGGGCTAAAGTGGGCAGAAGTCTGCACTGGGCAGTGTGCCCTCTCTGTCCTTCCCCTCAGGGAGCCGGTTCCCTCGCGCCTGCGTCCCTCGTGGTGCCTGTGCCCGGCCCGCTCAGCTGCGCCCATCGAGTCCTGAGTCAGGTCTGGGAGCCTTGGAAGACCTTGAAAAGCCCACACTCTCAGGCCTCAGTGTGCTAACCTGAATACCTTGCCATTTTCAATTCTCCAATGGAAACGTTCAAACCTTGTCGTGTTCCTGCTCTCGCTTCTGATCCTCTTGGTGTGTTTGGGAAAGCTGAAACCAACTCCTTTGATTGTGGAGACCATTGTGAAAATCTTTCAGGCCCAGCTTGTTGGCTGTGCAGAAGCCTGACCACAAAGAGCCATCGTCATCAGCCAGGGATCGTCTTTACCTGCCTGCAGCAACTGTGGTAGGTGAGGTTCGTGTGCGGGACAGGTGCGTTTGGTGTGTCCTGGGCAGTGACTCACTCCCCACCGCACCTCACTGCAACTATAGGAGGGGCGACTGAACTAATGTGTAAGTTAAAAAATTTATTGTGGTAAAAGACGCATTCCCACGATCCCCTCTCAAAACAGTCCCCGTGACCCACTCATCCCATTGGTCTTGCCAATTTCGGGGTAACTGTCTTGCCCTCATCAGTCGTGCCACTGGAGCTCCTCTTGCCACGCTGCGAAGCAGTTCCGAATGCCCTCTTTCCTGAGTGTCTTTAGGAGGTATGACAAAAAATACAGTGAATGCTGCTGCTGAGTGCCATCCAACGGAAAGGCAGATTCATGGAACGTTGTGGTGGGTCCCCGTCCATTTTATTCACCAGATCTGGAGCTGTGCAACTTTTGGCTTTTCCCCAGAGTCAAACTTGACCATGAAAGGTAAACATTTTGAGTTGATACAGGACATTGAGACAGCCATGAGGGGTGTAACTAAAGACATGAAAGAAGACGTCCAGGGTTGCTTCGGGAAGTGACATGAACAAGGGCTAAGTCTTTTTAAAGCAAGGGGAAGTACTTTGAGGGAAGTGAATGACAACATGTCTTCTACTGTAATGTTTTTTTTTTAAATTAAGTACCACTGTATTTTTTATCCCACCTTGTAACTCTGTCCTTTTCTCTTTTATTCAGTGAGTCTCATCTAAGAAAATGAGAAGAAAATTATAATCTTGATTTGCTAAGATTATTATTTTTTAAGTATTCCTCAGCTTCAGTCCTTTACTTACCATTGGTAACAAATAGTACTATGTAATACACTGTTGAGAAATTCTATAGAGGTGTACCAGGCCTACCTGACTTCTTATATTTTTTATTTCTAAAGAAGATAGATGGAAATATTCCAATCTAATTGTTCATTGATTTCTCTTTATAAATCTGTTGGCTTTTTGCTTCATCTATTTTAAGACTATATTGCTGGGTGCATGCAGATTTAGTATTACTGTATCTTCCTGGTGTGATATCCTTAGGTGATGATCATTTTTATCTCCATAATGCCTGTGGGTTTTTTTAAGGGGGAGCATGTTGTTTTGTTTTGTTTTTTTGTTTTTGCTTTACACTCTTTTGGTCTTTTATTAATATTGTTAATAATACCAACTATTTTTATATCATTTTTCCCTCTTTCTCTCTCTCTTTCTCTCTCTCTCTCTCTCTCTCTCTCTCTCTCTCTCTCTCTCTCTCTCTCTCTCCCATTTTAAGGATTGAACACCCAGGGCCTTTGCTCTGAGTTATATTCCCAGCCCTTTTCTGAGGCAGGGTCTAGCTAGATAACTAAGTTGCCTAGGCTAGGCTCAAACTTGAAATCCTCCTTCCTCAGCCTGAGATTGCAGGTGTGCACCACTGTACCTGGCTTATATTATTACACTTCCAACATTGTTTTGCTATTCTGAATTATGAATAGACTTTTTGAAAAATTTGAGAATCTCTGTCTTTTAGTAGATGCATTATATCCATTAGCCTTATATACATTTACTGATTTTGGTATTTCCAAGTTTTAAGCAGGCCATATCCAGAGGCGCTGAGGATGTCGTTGCCTTCCCCACCATCCCCATGAAAATTCTCATAAATTATTCTCTCACAGTTCTCCTGAGTCTTGGCCTTACTTTCCACTTAAAGTGCAGTCCTCCACCTGCTACTTAGGTTTGTCATCCCTGGATCTATCCCCTGTGCTTCTGCCCGCCGCTTCTGGGCTCATACAATCCACATGACAGTGTTACCTAGATATGCGTTTCCTTTAGCAGGTGAGAGGAACGCACAAGGAACCAACTTGGTTCAGTCCTCAACACAGCAAGCCCCACCAGCATCTCCAAATCGGAGCAAACTCTGCTCTCTGAGGATGTGTCCACCCGGATCTTCCCCGTCCTATGACGCTGTGTTTTTGTACTTCCTCCTGTCTCCTGGTTCCTTCCCAGTACTTCCTCCTTGTATGCATGGCAGACACATGTATACATACATACACGTAACTGCATCCACAGATTGCTAGACTGGCTGCAGGATGAGCTGGCTATGGAGGAATTCACTCTAAAAAGTCCTATTGGCAGGAATGTCCCTGCTTTTTTCTTGAAGCTTTGGAGTAGGAGTAGGGAAGGGAAGTATAGAGAGATGCACTGATCAGGAGACCAACAGTGTTATTGGGGGAGATTGAAGAAGTACCAGTTGTTACTCTGCTGTGAGTCCTGTGTTTTCTGCCCACGACAAGGTTGGCCTTGAAGTCTCCATCGGAGTGAGCTGGGCTTGACAGAGGAGGCAGAATCATTTCTGAAATTCCTACTCTCATGGCTTCTAAGCACCATGGAGACCATATAAGTGCAGTCTGGAGAAGGCTGAGGCATAAAGCCCTAGAAGGCAGGAGATAAGGGCTCTGCCATGCACATGCAATCAGGAGATGAAATGTGGGTTCCATTTTCAAAAAAGTCTCGTGAGTCCAAGTAAGTGAAAAAGCACATTACGTATTCCTAATGCTGATGTATCTTCTGGCCTTGCAAGAAGGGGTGGTCTTAGGGCCTGATCAGGTAAGTCCCCAGTGAAGTACAAGGACCCAGGGAGAGGTGGGAGTGAGCTGGGGGATGAGATGGGAAGGACACTGTTCACTAGGGCCATCACTATGCCAACTTTCATTAAACTGGCAGCCACTGCAGCTCATCGAGACTCTCCTCAGGGGCAAGGTGGCTCGTGTTTCTTGAAAGCCTTCCAGTTGGTGGAAAATGACAGAAGTGACCAAGTTTTCTTGGTAACAAGAGGGTTCTTCAAAACCAGATCCTTTGTTCCAACTACCCCATTAAAAATGTATGTCCACATACTCCAATAAATTGGAGAATTCAGAAGAAATGGGTAGATTTCTAGACACACATGAATTGCCATAACTGAACCAAAAAGATTTAAAAACCCTGAATAACCCGATAACGGGCAATGAAATTAAGTAAAAATAAAAAACATACCAAGTAAGCCCAGGTCCCAATGGAGTCGCTGTTAAATTCTACACAACTTCAGGGAAAGAGTCAGATGTGGTATGCATGCCTATAATCCCAGCACTCAGGAGGCTGAGGCAGGAGGAATGCCATGAGTTTGAGGCCAGCCTGGTCTATACAGAGAGTTCAAGCCCAGCCTGCACTACTTAGCAAGACCCTGTCTCAAAAACAACAAAACAAAACAAAACAACAACAACAAAACTTTAGGGAAGTTCTAACGCTAATACTTGTCAAACTCTTCAATGAAATTGAAAGGGAAGGAGTTCTTCCAATGCCATTTCTGAAAGCTAGCATTATCTTGATTTTAAAACTAGACAAAGCTCCAACCAAATAAGAGAACTAAAGGCCAATCTCTTTAGCAAACATAGATGCAAAAATCCTCAACAAGATACTGACAAACAGAATGCAACAAATCATCAAAAAGATCATATATCATGACCAAATAGTCTTCATCCCAGGGATGCAAGGATGGTTCAATATATAAATCACTAAATGTGATACATCACATAAACAGAAGCAAGGACAAAAACCACATGATCATTTTAATCGATGCAGAAAAGAACTTTGATCAAATCCAATATCCATGCATCATAAAACCCCACTACCATTATCTTAGACAGGGAAAAGCTGAAAGCTGAGGAACAAGACAAGGATATCAACTGTCATCCTCCTGTTCAACTCAGGATTTGACACATTGGCCAGAGAGTCAGTCAAGGGAAAGCAGTGAAACGGGAATGAATAGGAAAGGAAAAAGTCAAATTATTATTTGCAGATAACATGATCCTTTACATGGAAAACCCAAAATATCCACCAAAACACTCTTACAATTAATAACCAAATTCAGCAATATAGCAGGATCCAAAATCAACACACAGAAATCAATGGCATTTCTGTACATTAATAATGAGCCCACTGAGAAAAAAATTAGGAAAAAAATACCATTCACAAAAGCATCAGGAAAAATTAAACACTGAGGAGTTAACATAACCAAGCATATGAAAGACCTCTACAGTGAAAACGATAGTGCTCTGGAAAGGAGATTGAGAGGACATCAGAAAATGCAAAGAGCAGCACAAGCAACTGTCTGGACAGCTCCAGGTTCTGAGTTCACTTCCGGGTACAAAGAAAGAGA